CCAGTGAAACTCGGGATCTGCTGTTCAGGATGTTGGTAATGAAAATTTAAGTCCTTTTTCCACTCTCTGCCAAGAGGGGCAGAGTAACAACTTCTAGTGATGATGTGTCCCTATTCACCCTAGTTGACTCCTGCAAACTAGCAAGAGAAAAACTCAAGCTTTTAGGAAGCTTTTCCTGAATCCATAGAGGCTGATCTGCAGCACTGATTATTTTTCTTTTTTTCCTAAAAACAGATTATTTTTTTTTTTAAATTGACCATTGTTAACATTTGTTGCTTTAGCTTATTCAAAACATTAGACAAGATCAAAATGAAAATACTTTTTTATAGAAAAAAGGTTCTTAAGTATGATAATGGGAAGCTATTGAATGAATACTATAATGTAGATCAGAAATGTGACAGATATTAAGCTCCTCTTCTGACTCTTGCTTGTGATTTCTTAAAGGTACTATACAATGTGTATTTGTCTGTAGGATGCTATTCATTAGAAACAAGGTCTATCCTGGAATTTTCTTTCTTTCTATCTGTATTTGGAGATTTCATATTTCCTATTAGAATTATAAAGCAGATTAACAAAAACAAACCCCTCAACTCTTATATCCAGAACTTTTGGCTATCATTCTGTGTTGTGGCCTTGCTTTCTATCTTAAATTTATTCAGAAATAAATATCTCTGAATAAAGCAAGGCCGTAGAGACCAATTCTTTTAAGTTTATGTCATAGACTTACCTTGTAACACTTAAAAAATAAAAAAAAAGAAAAAAGTTTTTAAACATTGTGCAATAATTTTTTCTTTTGGCTTATTAGTATTGTATTGAACTAAGTATAACAGTACATATATGCGCTGTTGGGTTTTCTAACATAAGGCTCTATTTATCGATATGACTCTGACAACCAACATGTTCTTCCCTCTCTTGTTTCTTGATGTTAGCTAATAAGTCAAAGTTCATCAAGTGGACTCTCCTCCTTCCTCAAGAGCTTTTTGGGATTTACTATCCCATTGTGTTCTTCATTCAGGACGTTCCTTTCAGCTTGTGACCTTTTTGATGTGCCCAACAGTTTAAAAATTGTGGTAAAACTTTATGAATCGGCCTATCATGAGAGAGATTAGCTGTGTATTATCTTGCCTTTTACAGACTCCATAGAGGCCATATTTATGTGAGGAGAGATGTTTGAAAATAGGTAAGGTTGAAGCGTGCAGTGCGGCACACGCAGATCTCCTGTCATACTGTCAGTGTCAGAAAAAATATTTTGAAGTCTCTCGTTGCTAGTGAAAAACAGGAATCTTACTGAGCAGGAGAGTTTGAACCCGTCTTGATACAACGCAATGTGAAAACTAGCTTTATAACCACCTTCCTTGATGAGCCCCACTAGCCTGCCTTTCTTATTTGTTTGGATTTTTTTTTTATTTCATTTGGTTTGGGGGTTCATTTGTTTGTTGTTGTTTGGTTTTTGTTGTTTGGTTTTGTTTTGTTTTCCACTACCACAATTTCTGAAGCTGCAAGCTGTTCTTTGTGGAGATTTTGGTATCTGCTTTGGTCCAGGTGCTATACATTATCTTCTTTTAAGCCGAAGTAACAATTGATTTGCTGCAAAATGTTTGCCTCTGTAAAGGGAAGAATACAGTTTCATCAGGTGCACAGGAGGACTAGTGACTAGAAAATGAAGCCACTCTGCTGAGGACAGATGTGTTGGGGGTGCCCCAGCAATCCACTAGGGTGGCATCCTGGCAAGCTAATTATAGCAGCTGAAATGCATGGCAGTCTCAGTGCATGGCACAGTAACAAGCAGTATCACCCATCTGGGTGGGCTGGCTGCAGCTAAACCTTATCCTCTTGCTGCTCTTCTCTCGCTTGTTCTGAATCCCTTGCCTGTATTTAATCCTGCTGTAGTTTAAACACCTGTCTCGCTGGAATGTGTGAAATGTCCCTACTGCCCATGCTAAGCTATTTGTTCACCTGCTTTACTTAGAAAGACAGCTTTCAAATAAACAATGATACAGTATTAGAGAGGAAAGCATATCATTAATAGAGCAGGGGTGAGGTGGTAATCCATCTAACTGAATGGTTCTTGGTATCTGGATGATGAGGAGGGAAAATTGGATACAGTAATCTTCATTTCACACATTGGAGCAAGGTTATGATCACTGTTGCTAACAACCTAAGAATTGTATATATCCTATTTCATTTACCATGTTGGCCTCTGTGTTTGCCTCATTTGCCATTCTTGCTTCTTTTCAGACAATAAACTCTTTGTGGCCAGAAACTGTCATTGTTAGGTATTTGTATAGTGCCTGGCACAATCAGAACTAAACCTAATTGGAAGCTTTCTGTTATTGCAATGAAAGTGCTTTACATTTTAATTAAATGCTATAGAAGACAACATTTAAGGGTGAGGTAGAGGCACCAAGATGACACCTAATACTGTTTTTGATATAAGATGGGTAGCACTGCCCATTACTAAGCTTGCTTGATATGTCCCACTGTAAGATCTTGATTTAAATTGCTTGTAATGTTCTGAAACGTCATCCATTTGGACTCACGTTTTCTGTGCCTAACGTTCAGTTTTCAGAACACTTCAGGCAAGGTGAAATGTTCCAGCCAAAGCCGAGACTGGACAAAAAAAAATACTCTGTGCATTTTAATATCTACAGAAATTTTCCTTTAAATCTCTGGATCTCCCATGCTTTGGAAGAGGAATTTGGAATTTAAAATTTACAACTTGTTCAAGCTTGATTGCATAGTAACTATCTGAAAAGCTTCAGGTGAAATATACTCAGCAGCACCTGCTAGAGCTGCTCAGCTGCCTAGAGGTTCCCTCCACACCTAGGATGCTAAACTGGATTTCTCTGTATTTGCAACTCTAGAATACTGAGGCTTGAGAACCCATTCTCCTGTGTTCTCAGTGACCTGGTCCATGTTGGGCTGGGAGCCTGTCTGACATGAATGCAGAAGAGTGGGAATTCTGTGAAGGTGTGGAGAACAGTTAGTTGTGAAAGAGAGGTTGTGAAATTTGACCCTGGACGTAATTTGGGAGAGGACACTGAGAACCATTCAGGCTAAAGGACAGAAATGGAAGGAATGGCAGTGTGGTAAATGTGGTCCAATGAGGAGCCCACATTCTGAGCCTGGGGGAACAAAGAGGTTGACAAAAGGAGCAGGCTGGGGAGGGGAGTAAAACTAGAACCACTTGGATGTATAGTATATGTGAGCAACTGGAAGAGGAACTAAGAATGGAAGTATGAGAAGACAAATCAAGTAACTACTCCCATGGAAAGTTCCAGGCCTGAAATGGTGTGGCTCAGGAGCCAAAAGTAGTGGGGACGCCAGTGCTGGAAGTCTGTAAGAATGAAACTGGACTGAGGAGAATAAGGAAAATGATACCTGAAACGGAGAAGCTGGGACTGACTAGGTGAGAATAATAACACACAGACAAGAAGCAAGAACGGGAAACGATAGAGCTGAGAAGGGATGAGATGAAAGTGGTTGCTTTTCGAGAAGTGGGCAGAAGCCTAGTGCGTAACCACTATAATTTAATCCTATCCAGAACTTCAAGTAAGAGTTAAGATTTCTGAACTTACAAAATGCTTAGATGCCTTGCACTACTAAACCACAGAAGGAGTGGCAACCTACTGTGTTTCCAGTTGCAGTGTTAGTTCGTGTTCCAGAGTTCAGTCAGAGGATGTGAAGTCTACAGTCCTGCACAAGTCTATTGTAGATGTGAGTGTGGTGTATTGCAATGAAGCTGGTATGTACTTATTTGAGTCACTGTGCACAAATTCTGGTAAAAGAGCATTGTTAATATCTCAAAGCTGGGAATTCATAAGCTATGCTTAAGTCACACTTAAGAGACTTAAGCATCACCTTTGAGATCTGGAGCAGATGCAAGGCTAGTCATTAGACTCTTCTGTCTGTGTCCTATGCCTCATTGGCTATATGCCTTCTGGTTGCCACAGAAGTGAGCAGGGGCAATACGGATAAATTTTGCTTGCCATATCACCTTAATCTTGGTGCAGAACTAGGTCTGTTCTGTGCTCTTAAAAAGCAGCGTGTGATCATGTAATTAAAGGCATTCGTAAACTTAATTCTGGTGATGCCTGACTAGGAATCTTAGCTTTGCAACATTTGTAGTGCTTTGTAACCTTCATAAAATGTTTTGGGGCTGTCGTTTTTTTTCAAATGTAAACTAATACTTAGCACTGCTGCAGTAAATACCATTATGTTATGTATTTAGGCTCTCTTCAGTAAACCAACAGATAGCATCTGCTTGCAGAGTTTAACCTTTCAAGAAAATAAGCAATGCAAGAAGAATGCTCAGAGAAAGAAACAATGGAATACATTTCATATTAAAATGAAACACATTAAAAACACATAGGTAATTTCTTTAGAGCTTGATATAACAAACATACATTGATTTTAGGCTGTCATTAACTAGTGTATTTACTTGTGTGAACAGTCTAGAAGTGGTTGGGTGAGAAGTTTCTTTCATGTGTGGAGGAGTTTGGTTTTGAATTTTATATCCCAGGTATTGGGTTATGCCTGTACATATGCGTAGAGAGAGGTAGAGAGAGGACAGATGCATATGGCTGGCTCGGTCACCCAGCTTATGATGACTGGGCAGACATTCTGGTCTCTGCTTAGTGTAATATGAGCTTCTAGCTTTTGATTAGTGCATGTAGAGTTAATTTTTCATGTGGCAGGAACGTGATGTTGCTTTCTAACTTGAGCATTTTTGTCCCATCTTTGTCCTTTTCCTCTTTGTTCTTCTGTGAATGGAAGGTTTGTAGTTTTAATGCTGGCGCTCGAATTCATCTCAAGCGTGGTGGCGGTTGGTGTCATCCCTCCCACTGTTTTATGCAACTAGCAGTTTTTCTGCATCTGAAGATTTCCCTTCTCTGCCAGTCTTACTTCTCTTAGTACATGCTTTACCCAGTTTACTTAGCGACACCTTTTGCTTATTTCTTGGCTTTTAATTGTTTCTGATGTCTTTTTTTCCTCTTTAGTTAAAAAACCTGAACTTGGCAAGTGGAGCTATAAGCAAGGGGAATGAAGCTGCCCCGCAGAGCTACCAGCCACCACTCAACAAAAGAGAGTCACAGTCAGACACTCACATAGCTGACAAAAGATCTGTCTCTTCAGCAGTCAGGTAAGTTGAAATTGCTAGTCCAGCATTTTGAAGAAGAATGCAATGCACTCAGGAACTCCTTCATAATTTGTGTTTGGCTTCTTGCTCAGAAGATAACAGCTAAGGGCCTAATACTGATTCTTCTCAGGACTATCCTAGAAACTAGGCCTATGAAAATAGAGCTATGTTCCCAGAGCTGGCAGGTTCATGGTGAAATAAGGGCATGAATGAACATGTAGAATGAAAGGGAAATATCTGTTTCTTTTTGATAATTTCTCATCCCTGCATCTGTAAATTTAGGCTTGCTGGTGTTGAGACGTATAAGCAGAATGCAAACTTACACCTGATACTGCATAAGTCTCCATTAAGGCCTCATCTTCATGCTTTTTCCTTGAATATCAAGTTTAGATTGTTCAAAGATAGAGCAGCATCTCGCAGTGTTTAGTTTATTTTTCAGATGACTTCTTTATGCCCTTTTTTTAATTTGAGACATTGGAATTTATATTTGTGACTGGTATACTCATGGAACTCAGGGCAGAGGACTATGATTCTGCAGTAAAACCATTCTTCCTGGGGTTTAGAAAGAGCAGCAAGATTTACCTCAAAATTTCTGGATCTTAGAAGCTAGGAGCAAGGCAAGTTTGCTGCAGTAGACTAGGCTGAATACAGGCTCAGAACTGCTGGAGATTTGAGTTCTTTCTTTACCACCTCAGTAAATTTTATTTATTCCTTTGCCTAAGCCTTCGTTTTTGTCTTCTAAAATAGAACAATGAGGCAGATTTTCTCCAACACATGAGTTAAGGACTGCAAAACACTGTATACATTAAAATACTGATTCTTGTCATTGGTGCCTGAATGCTACTGGAAAATGGAGGGAGGTGAGGGAGGCAAACACACAGTGCAGAAGGCATGTGACCTGAAGTGGTCATCCTTTCCCAAATGGATCTTTCAACAGGAGGATAGGAATGGGATTTTGAAAGTTCAAGTAAATTGTTCTTATTTCATCAATCACTGCTTTTCGTCCTGCCTAAAGAAGAGGAATGTGAGAAATTAATTCCTGACCTGTTTCTGTTCCACCACAATGTTTGCCTCTGGGGTTTAGAGGTATTGAGAGAGGTGGTGGTGATTCTGCTCTTGGAGCCCAGCCAGGCTACTACCTAATCAGAGTAAAGAACCTATCCAGCAGGTGTAAACTGCCTTCCCCTCCTACATAGCTTCAGAGTCCAGCAGAGTGCAGGCTGTCCTAGAGCTTCCATTCCTTTCTTGACCCTGCTTGCACCTCTGCATGAACTCGCAGACATACTTGCAAAAGGATTACTTACAGTCAAAATCTTTGGTTGCAGAGCTCTGCAGAAGTCAGTGTTGTTGCCACATTTCAGTTATGTTACCTGTAGATCTAAGAACCTGCCGTTTAATGGCCAGAACTCCACTCTGAACAACTGTCAGGGCTGTGCCTCATCTAGCACTGTAGGCATAGTTTAATGCCTTTAGAAATTCTGTTTTATTTTGTACAGAAATCCACAAGTACTTCGGAATTGTCCTGCCACAGCTGGTATAAGATTCCATCTTCAAACCTTTTATGAACCATTTGGTCTTTCAGTACTTCATTTGCTCTGTTTTTATCCTCAGAGCAAGAGACAGAAAGAGGTCTTGATAAGACTCTTTATTGAATTACTTCATCTTCATGGCTGCTTATATTGAATGACCAGAATACCAGGAGCTAAGTTTTATGTAAATCTGTAAATGAAAAAAAGGGATTCTTGAGGCATTGTTGGATTATTTGGGCTGTGAACTTTCATTTAATGAGAAAATTCCAAAAGGAATAGGAAGGTCATGATATATGGAGATGGCTATTATGTAATGTAAATGTGTTTTTTGCTACTTGATCTGTTACATTGGAGCAAGCAGTTCATAGAGGGTCATCTGATGGGTGTCAGCCTGTGCTCAGTGCTGGATGACTGAAGAAAAGCTTCCTGTTTTGTTCCATTAAGGTTCTGGTCTATCAGTTGTAGAATTCGGCAAGGATGGAAATGTTTTGTAAATGGGTCTCTTATCTGGCTTGCACTTGGCTCCAGTTCAAATATCTGCCTTTGAAACTCAGTCCTTACACATTTTGTGTGGCTCTGTGGTAAATCTAAGCCATTTTAGTGCTGCTGAGATTTGTTTGAAAATTTTGTTTTGATGCTTGCAATCTGTAGGATTCAGACTATTCTTACTGACAAATCTTCTTCCTCTTTAATTCCCACTCTCCCCGTACTGACTTACTTAAACGTTTCTCAAAAGAAGTTCTCGAATCTTTTGTTAAATTCTTTTGGCTCTATGAGATGCGGTGCCAAATCAGTAGTCTGCTCGCCAAAAGGCAACGGAGATCTTGCGTTTGTAATATAGAGACAGTTTGTAATATAGAGAACAGAGTTCTGGATATGTTAAAATGTTATTTTATAAATCTGCCTGCTGTGTCTTTTGAGATTTTTTTTTTTGTCACTTTTATAAGCGTTGGCACTATTCCCACTCAAACAATGGTTCAGGCTTTCAGTGTGCCCTAGACAAAGAAGTCTGCAGGGCTACAGAAGAGGTGAGATGTTCCAAGTTGTACATGGGCTTGCTTCTGACTACCGTAACATGACTTCAACCTCTGCCACGTTTGCTGCAGCTCTACCTCTGTTGCCCTCTGTAGTTCACTGAGGCCATGCCAAATCTGCTCTCTCCTTCTTTAACCCTAGTCCTGTCTCAGTGCCCTATTTTGGTTCTATCTCAGCTTCTCACTCTATCCATCGGGCAGATGGTCACCCTTTCACACTGTGCTATAAAGGCACTAATTGTGGTTACATGTTTTGTAGTAGAAGCCTTTAAGATTCTCATATGTAATTTTTATTACAATTTTAGTAATGTAATCTAAGGACAACAAATATGAAAGTGATTCCTCCTTATCCAGTGATATTCATTTCCAGTCACTGAAGCCAAGACCTTACTAGAACTGCTCTTGAAAAAGCATTCTCTTGAAAGCATTCTCAGTTGCATAATAAAGGTAAAAAATCTGGTGTTTAAGAGAATGAAGCTTGTTGATTCAGAACCTAAACTAACTTTCGAGTACCTGTTGGCAAATAGTTGCATAATCCTACTGGTGGGGACAGCAGATGTTCCTAGAAGCTTCTGGCACTGGAATCTGCAACTGCTGTATCACTTGTTTTTTGAAAAAGACAGTGGATTTCTGCTCAAAGACTAACTTGGGCTCTGCAGGTCACTTAATCTCCAAGATCTAAACCAAAGCCAGTGAGAAAACTTTATTTTTAGCTGGTACAGATTTCTGTGTTTTCAGTGGGCACCTTGGATTCAACAGCAGCCATCCTTACTCAGGTTCATCTTTTAGAGCTCATGTGGGCAGTCAGTTAGCAAGAATTCAGCAGTGAAATGGTCAGTGTTTTCTTAGACCTCTGTTACATTAGCTTGTTGTTCTTTCATAACATCTTTCTTAAACCTAAAGACAAGACCAACCTAGCTCTTTTAAAGTACTCAGCATATTTTTTTCCTTGGATCTTCTGACAGATTTATCTGACTTGGTTAGAGGAGGCAGGCAAGCAAGCTTCCCTGTCATCAATCAGAGGGTAGAACGGCAGTCCAAATTATACCAGACAGCCTGGGAGGGCTACTGCAATCGTAAACAAGGGATTCTCCTCTTCTCATTGCTTGACATGCCCAAAATACTTCTTCAGTCATAATTTCAGTCAAAGGTGCTCAGGTTCGTAGAGAAATGATGTTTTGTTGACAGGCTGCCTAATCTGGGTTAAGTTGTATAAAACGAGACTTTTTTCAATTTTCTGATCTAAGAGTTTCTAAGTTTAATTTGCTCTGATGTCATTCTCAGTGATAGTAACAGCGACAGCTGCTCAGGGTTGTGTTCACATACATGCCATATGTCCAGATTCTCTTACAGGCTCTGCTTTGTGTATTTTAATTTTAATTTTTCCTTGCCTTGTATTATCAAATAGGGTGGGAAGCTAGGTGATGCCACTCAGACATTTCCCGTCTCAGGCTTTCAGAAACCCCAAACAGTATGCCTCATGTCTGGAAATTCTCGAAATATCTGATGTGCAGTAAGCCTGCAGCTTTTTGAAGAAATCGGACTTCATGCCCGTTCACAGCGTAGTTAGAGCATTCACATAGTAGGTGCTTCTGGATCTCATTGCGTATATTTACTGCTCACATACAAATCAGCTGAACAGTATGGGTGCAGGAAATCCAGTACCACTTAAAACATTAGCTTGCTGTGTCTGTTCTAATAGAAAATATGTGTTCTTTTGTATCCCAAAAACTCTACACAGAAAAGTGATTGTACACTCCACTCTCTTGCACAGCCCAGCACATAAACTGAGACTTGCATCCCTGACAATCTTATAGTGCTTTTGCAGCCTCCCAAACCAGGACCTTCTTTTTAATCACTGGACTTCCTTAGCCTTGGCTGGATAGTGGACACTTGATATCCTCCTTCCCTACCTGGTGCCTACTACTGCCTCATGATGGTTACTGCTAGGGGTACATGTACCACACGTTCTGGATTTCAGCTATTCTGCTCTGATCTTATTATGTATATATCCTTTGCACTTGTGAGAATGTGGAAGATAACTATCACAGCCTCATTGTGGTTCATCTTTTGTGTCAAAGGGGCTGCTTGCTGCATTTGACATAAAGAGAAGGTGAAAGTGGCTTCACTATTTCCTCAGCTTTTGCTTTAAATTTTGAAGGTGTGGAATGTAAAATAAGAAATCAGGATTGGATCCTCACTAGATAGGCTCTGAAGAGCTACGAGAAGAGTGACACTGGAATGTGCAAGGTGATACAATGATAGAAGGGTAAGCAGTTGATGGGACAGTCTTGCTTTTTTGCAAGACTTGTGAGCTAGGCCGGGGTGGGCTTAGCATGGCAGGAGCACCATGGACATTGCATGAGCTATGAGAAAGAGCTAACTATGTATAGGCTTGCAGCTAGAAGTAAGGAGGAGAGAATTCCCAGGGATCTTGGCA